TCTGCAAATATTGAAAAAAAAATTTTTAAATTTATGGAAATTTCTCAAACATCTGTAAAATCCTTATAATAAATTGACATAGCAAAATGAGATAAGAGATTGGATTTCCCTGTCGACACATTATATTTGTAAAATAAACAACAAACGGTAATTTTTTCTGTGTTTAGTACCTACTTGAAAACATAAGTTTCATATTCCGTTATCATGTAGTTTTATTGACACTGAAAGATTTATTAATAAATAAATAAAATATATGAACAAGAAAGAAATAGTGAGGGAAATGTATAAAAAAGAAGGAAAAGATTAAACGGATTAGCCCTCAACAATTAATTCTGCAAAATAGGAACTTACTCCATCTCAAGCAATTTCTTGAAAACCGTTGAGGTAAAGGTGTTTTACCAAAAGCTAACCCTCTAATGACATTCCTGAGGATAGATATGATAACTACATCGACGACCTTTCGATTGATGCAGAGGCTTCAGAAGAAGTAGTTTCATCACTTTCATCGATGTTTTGATAGTTTCATTAGTATTTTTTGATTGTATTTCTTAGGGTTGAATTTGTAGTGAAGGTGGACCAAATAAAAACTCAAATATAAATTTCTTGGCAACGTTTCGGTCTCTGTTGACTCAATATTCAAGGTACCTAGGGCACTCCACAGTGCGAAAGGTACAGGGTGGGTCAAATTCGACGCTTTTAAATGGAAACACCCTTTTCTATAGGAGATAGACAAAAACTAATATCGGTGTCTGGAGCTCAATTTTTGTCAGAAACATGATGGTGAAAACCGCATATCGATATCTGTTACCGTTTTGGAGTTACGGGATGTTTTTCAAAAATATGCACTATTAACAAATCCCTGTAACTTCTTTGCTATGGAAAATTTTGTATTTTTATGAAAACATTTCCAAAGCACCTTTTTACATAGAATTTAATAGTATAAGTATAATTTTTTTAAAATTAATAATTTAAGAATTATCAAGAGAAAATTTGATTTTTTATATGGGACACCCTGTATATTTTTACTTATTGAAAATAATTTAAAATTACCTTTCCAAAAATATAACATACTTGATATTTTGCTCGATTCCTCTTCGAGATAAAGAGTATATAAAAATTCGCCCGCTTTAAATAAGTAGGCTTTGAACGGCACCGGCTGTAATGCAAAAAAAATCTAGCTATGAGCATCAATTAAAACTAAAATAATATTTGCTATGAGAGATGCAGAATTTTATAACAATTCAAAATATATTTAACCAACATCCACACATTTAAACTATATCTAATAACAGGGCCGTATCTAGACCAAGATTTCGGGGGTACAAAAGCTGCTAGAAAAAAGCATAATAAAAAAATCGCTTTGGGTTACACTCAAATCTTAATTGAAAATAAAATTTTAAAAAGTAACAGGTAAAATTATTAATCTTAAAGGATAAACTGGTCTTTTCCCTGGAAAAACGATTGACTACCTCTTCGATATCGATATTTATTTCTCTATGTACGCTTAATAGAGGAAGTCCTGTCAATCGCTCCTGACCTGTAGAGTTACGTAGGAAGTCCTTAATCGTCTTATACCGCAACCGCACATGCGGCATTTAGCGAACTCCGAGCGCTCGTCAACTACCGAACGCTCGTGATCGGACTTCGCCTTTCCATCCACACATGCGGGCTCTGATAGCAACAACATAGAGATGAGCGCTCGTTCTCGTCGCCGATCGGGTCGCCGAACTCCGACTTCTTCATCCACACACATAGGAAATCGGCGAAGCCCCGATCGGAGATCGCCGAATACCGCATGTGCGGTTGCGGCATTAGGGTTGAAAAAGACCTTTCTGGTGTAGACCACTGGTTACACTCCGATTATCGTTTCGATGGCGTTTTTAGGTCGGTCGACTGCAGGTAGCTGCTTCCATTTTTACCGCCACAAGTCTAGTTCTGCCGCTAAAGTGTCATAGTCCAAGAATTCTTTGTCTAATAGCAGAACAATAACAAACGTTAATCACGTTAATGACCAGCAAAACACACAACATTCAAAATCTTGTCCTTGTCAAACTTTTGCTGTTTTAAACACTTGAATGTTGAAAGTCGAAAATTGAAATGACATTTGCTTTCAAAGTGGAAAAGTGAGGTTAGGATGTATAATGTATATTCATCAATGATTAAAGAATACAAGGACAAATAGCACCCGAAACCAAACTGTGACCATTCTTCCAAACAGTGTCGTAGCACATATTTTACTTAACATTGCCGCTTGAAGGGATATTTATATTTTTGATATTATATGTTTTCACCATGGTACAAAGAAAACAAGGTATGATCGATAGCGGCTCCAATTTCGTTAAGTTTGCGCATACCACCTGTGACGTCATACGCCATACAAAAAAATATCCATATTGTTCAATTGTCTAATTGTCACTAATAAAAAAAGACCTAAAATAGGGAAGAATTAGGACATAACCCCAAGTTATGTTTTGACATCGAGCTTGACATTTGAAAAATTATTTTCACATTTTGACACAATCAAATTTCACAGATGACACAATCTCTTTGACAATTTGAAATTGGCGCGCAGAGCTTGCCGACCAATGGTGCCGTTTATCACCTGTGACGTAGTAACCAACCTGCGCAATATCATACCTTGTATTCTTTGTATCATGTGTTTTCACTACGCCTATGGTGTATCGGGTGGTATCATACTAATTAATTACGAAAAAAACGTATTAAAATGTTAACAAAAGGTACATAACTAGTATCGACGTATAGTACATATCAAGTACATATAATATCAGAAAAATAATTATCGAATTCAATAAAAAACGCTAAAAAGGTGTAGGGGACTGTTTATTTCCCTATAAAACGTAACTTCTGGCTCTTTCTTATCATTGCGCCTTTTACACTTGACAGCTGAACAAATTACCTTTGTAATATTGTAATAAAGTTTATACAAAGTTCACTACACACAACCAACTATTAAAAATCGCTAAAATTGTCGCTGATGACCAGCTGATGATTCATTCGTTATGTCTAAAAAGTTAGCGTCTAAGGTCACAAATTCTGCTGCAGCCCGTATATGGGCGTTACATGTCCTTGTATTCTTTAGTCATAGATATTCATCCATCTTGTTCTTTTTTTGTTTCGTTCTTACTTACTCAATGATCATTACTTTTTAAAAATTTTCGGCCATAATTTCGGGGGGGGTTTGAACCCCCAAAACACCCCCCCAGATACGGCCCTGTCTAATAACAATAAAAATAAATAGCAAACCAAGACATGATATTTGGCTACAGGTGTTCGACATATCGACCGTCTTCTGTTATGGACAGACGGGGCAGTTTTTGAACAATTCTCGCGGAATTCATTAACTCAGTGGGTGTGAAAGATACCTTCTTATAACTGCTAAGTATTTCTAATTCTTGTTTATATTATATAGAAGAATAAGGAACCTTTATTCTTCCGCAAATATATCCATAGGATTAGATTCATGGGCACTAAGTCATGCGGCCTCGACGGCCAAAGGCTGGGATCTTGGTTAGCTATTCAATTATTCTTGGAATTGGCTGATAACTTCAACGTTTAGAGGCGGTGCGTCGTCTTGCTTGAAAAATATGTTTTCGAGTTCCATTAAGGACATATCATCAATAAGGAGTCCAAAGCCTACTAGTTAAAAGTGGCAAACTTTTAAAAATTCTGTATTTCGAAGGGGATTATAACAAAATATCAAGTGTGCTACATTTTTGGAAAGGTAATTTTAAATTCTTTTCAGTTAATTAAAAATATAGAGGGTGCCCCAAATAAAAAATCAATCATTCTGTTGATAACTCTTAAATTCTACATAAAAAGTTGCTTTGGAAATGTTTTCATAAAAATACAAAATTTTCCATAGCAAAAAAGTTACAGCCATTTGTTAAAAATGCATATTTTTGAAAAACACCCCGTAACTCCGAAACGGTTACAGATATCGATATGCGGTTTTCACCATCATGTTTTTGATAAAAATGGAGCTCCAGACACCGATATTAGTTTTTGTCTATCTCCTATAGAAAAGGGTGTCTCCATTTAAAAGCGTCGAATTTGACCCACCCTGTACACAGCACTCGGCACTGTGAAATTTTACGCCACTGCCACTGACCACTTTAAATCACTTCCTCTAAGAGATGCGAGACTTTGTCGTTGATGGGGAAGCTCCTAGTCAGGTGCTTGGGGGGATCCCCTCTGGCACTTTGGCTGGGACTAAGGAGCATCTCATTGTCTTGCCTCCGGCTGTAGTGTCGTGACCAGGGAATTGAACCAAGACGTATAATGATGTCGAAGGGACTACCCTGTCCATCATACCTGGCACCCTCTACTGTCTCTGGTCATGTATCATGGGTTGAGGGTGTAGGGGGGTCTTAGGTTAACCGCCCGGACCAAGGGAAGACAACCTCACAAAAAACGCAAATCCTATGATGGCGGGACCAAGTCAAAGAGATGCGTGGGTAAATAGAAGACTAGCCTCTACTGGTATCAACCGTGGGGGACCTAGCCTCCTAGCCTCCTTAGTTCCTAAAATACAGGGTGAATTTATGATGGGCAGTAGTGAACAGATGTTGAATACAGATATGGATGCGAAGTAATGAACGCAACATCTACTCTGTTCAGGAGAGCATATCAAAAGATATATTAATAAGAAAACCAGCTTTCTTAAAATTATCTATTGAAAACGTTGTTAGCTTTTAGACTATAAGTAAAACAGCAAAATCGTTATGAAAATGAAAGTATAAAATAACACCAATCTAGCAAAAAATCTAAAAACTGCGTAATTTTCTAACCAATCGAAGTCTTTAAATTCAACCACTAAATTTAATATCGTATCCTCAGCCGGAGACAAGCTTTTTGACTGTGAAGGGCACGTAGGGCTAAACCCCAACCTTGGAAGGGTGTATAAATAAACTCATGTTTATTAAATAAATAAACTCATGTTTGTTCTATTTTAATCTGAATGTATTTCTATGTTGTTTCAGGAAGTGTTGTATGTGCCACATGGAAGACGATGATGGAAGAGTTAGACAATACCGCAAAACTTATAAGACACAACGCGGACAACGTAGAAAATAAAGTAGTAGATGCCTTAAATGCTCTCTGTGCCGAAAAAAGGAAAGTTAGAAAGGCATACCAAGAAGAACACAATCGCATTTCTCATCAATTTAGTCAAGTAAGTGTCAATATTTATATTTCATACATGTTTCGCCTATTTCGAATATCGAAAATTGTTTAGCATTAGTGATGAGCGACATTGATTTTGGTCTTGAGATCTTAGTCTTGGCCTGGGTCTTGCTTTTTATGCGGTCTTGCACGGGTCGGTATTGGTGTTGTTCTTGGAGGAATACAGCTAGTCTTGGTATTGGTCTTTTATCGAATATACCGGGTGTGTGTCTCAAAATTAGTTCACCCCCTGCAACTTTTTTATATTTTCAGATAAAAATCGAGATTTGGTATGTTAGTATATGACATAAATTAGGATTGATTGACGTATTCAATTGTTTTCGCTCACTTCCTGTTTTACCGGAAATGACTATAACTTTTGATTTTTGAATAGCACCCTCGGTATTTTGTTACTTTATTCCATAGAAAATGACACTCAGAATAGAACGACATATCAGATGTCAACTTTTGACATTTTCGAATATGATTTATTTGCAATTGCAACATGCGATTCGTAACGACAATTTGACACGCAATACCAAGTCTGTGGCACCAAATTATTCGTATAATGTAAATGCTTTTTCCAAATATGCCAATGAGCCACCTTCGTTCCATTTGAAAAAATGAGATATGATTAAAAATACAATTTGTGAGGCAACGGCCTAGCTACGTTGAAATACCGGTTCCCATTAGAACACCGAAGTTAAGCGACGTAAGGCGATACTAGTGGATGGACGGGTGACCGGTTCGAAACTCTGTATCGTGCTGTTGTCCAAAAAAAGGCAAAAGTCTCTATTGACACACACTGTTCATTCACGCCGGTTCGAGGCCGGATGAGATCGGATATCTCGTGAGTAAGAGTCGATTTAGACACTTGCCAAGTCGGTAGGCCATTGACCATGATATGGCCGAGGACCGCGGTTCGGATTCCGCGTAAACAAAGTAGGCCCCGTCCAGATTAGCCCTGGCACCAAAAAGGAGACGTTAACTGAAATCTTTACTTTACTTTTAAAAGATGATTAAATCTATTTTTTCAAAGCTCCTAGATTATAAATTAGTGTTTTTAACACGGTCATTGCACTCTAAATTGAAATATAAAATACAATTTTGTCACGAACGAAAATAGTTATCTAATAAAGTAAACAAATACCGAGGGTGCCATTCTCGGTGCCATTTAAAAAATCAAAATATGTAGTCATTTCTGGTGAAACAGGAAGTGAGCGAAAACAATTGAATACGTTAAATCAATCTAATTTATGTCATATACCATTATACCAACATCAAAATCCAATTTGTTTCTTTATCTGAAAGAATTATTATAGGGGTGATCCACTTTTGAGACGCATCCGGTATATCGACTTATTTATCGACTGTTATGGACTTGCGAGAGTCTTGTAGCAATAGCAATCAAGACTGGACCCTGAAATACCAAGACTCAGATTATTAGTTTGCAAGACCAAAGCTAACAGGGTCTTGCAATTGCTCATCACTATTTAACTTTGGTAAGCACAACTTTAAATAAATTATTATAATTATTTATATTTTTTGTATCATAAGTTATCCAATTAAATAACTGAGAATGCACGTCAGCTTATCTGATGATTTCATATGCCTATTTACAAGAGTATAATAAGAGTGATGATGCTAACAATGTTAGCAAAGTGTACGTCTAGAAATTATTGTTTCTCTACTAAACCACTACTATGGTTGATTTATGTAAATTTCTGTAAGGGAATGTCATTGATTCCATTTTAATATTTTTTTAATAAGAAAACATTAAGGACAATAAAATAACATCTACTCAAATTACATGCAATTTTACTTACTTCATAAAAAAGTGAAAAAGAAAGTAATTATAGCTCGGAACCATTTATGCTGGCAAATCACGTTTAGAATGTATAAAATATATCGTTTGTATAAATTATTTCCCACAGAAAGTAGGTTAAGAGTTAACTAAACGCTTGCAAAAAGCCGATACACGTCAATTGAATATGTTGTAATATTATTGATAATCGTCTAGTAATATTAATGGCCATAGAAATGCTGATGTACATTGTCATGTCACAGTGTAACTATATAAGGATGATTTAATGTTTTTTTTTCGATGTATCTTCATGTAATTTGAAAATTACTATTAAATAATTTGAAATGGAATTTGAGTTTACTCTTCGGTTGAAATAAGACAGTAAAATAATATTTGTTCGTTTAAATACAAAATTCAAATTTTAATCGTAATTTTCTTCATTTTTAAATGAATGTGTTAACTGAATTGAACTAGAACTTATACAAATAATTATTTATGCTTTCTTTATATATTGACTAATTTTGATTGTAAAGCGCCTTTTTGAATTTTTTTCTGTTTATAATTGGAATTAATTTTGATTTATCATCATCATCATTTTCAGCTTATTCAACCATCTCCAATTATGGTACAGCCTTCCTCACATATTTAGATGTTCCCTTCTCAGTTGGGGCCATTGTTGTCTATTGTTGGCTATGCGGGCCCATGTTATCCCTGCTAATTTCCTAATATCATGGTCCCATCTCAGGTTTGGTCTTCTTCTAGGTCTTTTAATTCCTCGTAGATACATGTTGTCATTTTTGTGGCTGTAATATCTGTTGTCCGTCCTTCTTGCTAGGTGGCCTGCACATTCTCACTTGAGGGATTTGATTCTGTGGATGACATCTATTACCTCGGTCTTTTATCGTATCCGCTCTATTCTTTTACGGTCCTTTTTGGTTATTACCAGCATATTTCGTTCCATTGAGCGTTGTGCGATCTGCAGCTTCTTTTTAATCTCCATTTTAAGTGTCCAGGTTTCGCATGCTTATGTAGGGCCACGTTAAGGTGATTGGGTACCCCATGCACCATTTATTTTATCGCCCTCTTCAACTAATAAAAATTCAAGTAAAATTTGTTATTTAAAAAAATGCCGCCCCTATCAGCCTGCCGCCCTAGGCAGCTGCCTATCTTGCCTAATGGATAACGCGGCACTGTGCATAGATCATGGCTGGTAGTACACATTGGCCGAATGCTTTCTTCTTTAGATAAAATGGTTCATTTTAGATTTGAATATGATTGAGTTTCTTCCATAAGTACTCCATGCTAACTTAATCCTTCTGTTGATTTCTGGTAGTAGATCTCCCGAGCTGTGTATTAGTTGTTGTAATAATTTGATCTATACTATCATTTAATCAAGAGATTTTCGATACTCATGCTTTTTCATGCTTTTTAGAACCTGAGCTGGAGTCTATAATTATATGAGAAAGAAGAACCATTAGAACTTTAGTTTTTACTATAAAACTCCCTATTTTTTAAATATACAGGGTGTCATTGAAATAGTGTAAAAAAGGGCGGAAAATGCATATTAAGGGAGTTAGGGGCAATGAAAAGGTGAATTTAAAAAACGGTTGTTTTGAAATTGTAGGCTTGAAAAACGAGATAAAATTTCGAAAAAAAATGCTTTGCCATAAATTTTTACCCTAAATCAAATGGTGATACTGAAAAATTATTTGGAAAAGCGGAAAGGGTAGTTTTTGCCAGGGTAGGGGGTTGTTTCGTGAATAACTTCTTAGAGGTTATTTTTTTGCAACGTGGGTTCATTTTTTGAAAACTACATACTTTTTCCTACAAAAAAGGTACTCTTGTTGCAAATCGCCCAGAGTGACGGTTTTCGAAAAAATTGAAGGCAAAGAGTTTGCTCTGATGGGTTGCTAACTCAACATAAACTTATGAAAGTTATGGCGATTCAAAAGTAACCAAGTAGTTATTAAATAATTAATTGGAAAATCAAAATTTTATGATTTTTAAAACATCTTATTGCTTTAAAAACGAAATAAACCAATTACCAAAATTCTTTATTAAAATAATGCATTCCTTAATTCATTCATAGTAAATGTTTAAAGTGACCACCATTTATTTCAATGCAGACATCTGCTCTTCTTTTTCAAGATCTGCGTACCCTGTGGAATATCCTTGGTGTTTGTCCGAATTTGATTGGAACAGTCAATAATGCGTTGTCGTAGTTGCTCTTCAGTATTAATCGGCACTGAGTAAACCAAAGCTTTCAAAGTGGCCCCAGAAGTAGAAATCTAGTGGATTTTTTGTTTTTTAAAGCAATAAGATATTTTAAAAATCATAAAATTTTGATTGTTCAATTAATTATTTGATAACTCGTGACAGGATAATTAAAATGTTTTAAAGTATTATATTGTCAGGAAAACAAATATATAATAAATCACAGACTCACCAAATAATCCCTGAAGTATTGACCCTGAGCGGAGGCGTACTTTAATACCTGTCACAATTAAAAGTAAGGATAAGTGTCCAGTTCATAATTCCGACCTACTTAACTGCTATATGCCGATATTGTTTTGCCCTAACTACCTATTATTTATTTCCTATTTATCTTACTAGATGGACTAATTTATCTCTGTCTCTCTCAATACAAGATTTACAAACATATCTATGCAAATGCACTGCTTGGCCTTCCGCCCACGCACCCCCTGATGGCGCGGACTCCAGAGTAATCAGCCGCACGGGCAACAGAATAAACACAACATATCGATCCCGAGATTCGAGGACCCTGGGGGCCTGTTCCCGCCGCTGAAGACCCGGAGGTACCGTCCCAGACATAATAATAATGTCCGTTGTCACACGGCGTACGGAATCCCAGATCCCTGCCGTGTGCGACGTTGCGACATTACGAGGATTCGCGTCCCTGCTACTATGACATTACGGGATCCCAGATCCTGCCAAGCAACATTAACGGGCCTATCCTTGCGCTTCCTCAAGCTAAGCAGTACTAACTCTACTGAGAACAGAAATTCACTAATCCACCTAAAGCTTACGTGGCTATCATATTAACTAATTAGGTACTTTATAAAAGAACTATCCAATCTCTCTCTCTCTCTTGATTACAAATTTACTTATCTCATCAAATACTAACGTACTGTCTTGCCCCCGTCCACGCCCCCCCGTGGCACGGTCTAGACGAACCAGAAGACCCG